TTTTTTTTTACCTAAAATAGAGACACAGATGTTGATGTGTCTGCATTCAATCATTTCAGTGGGCTTAAATAGATCCCCCTTTACAGCAGATTTAGTTCACAAACAACTGACAGTTTTGACCTAAATATGATTTTCAGTTACAATAATTAATCCTAAAATTCGACATTAGTAACTTACTTTTAGCAGCATCAGACGCTCGCGCTCTCACAAGATCTCCTGGTTGTTACTTGTGAATTCAGTTCACTGGAGACTCGCACTAAACGGTTCATTTGAATCAGTGAGTTGTCGACTCGGGAACAGCTGCAATCGGATCATTCCAATTCTTGAATGAATCGTTTGGTGTGATTTGCGAACCGATTTAAAAGGTTCATTGAAAAGAATCAGTTCGTTCTTGAATCAGACACCGCTTCTGCGTGTCAGAGCACGTGATATATTATAAGGAGTAACGATAAGTTTTATGAAATGTAGTGAAGTAAAAAGTACGATCTTATGCTTTGGAATGTAGTGAAGTAAAAGTAAAAGTTACTCAAAATAAAGTACAGATACTTGAAAAATGTACTTAAGTACAGTAACGAAGTAAAACTACTCCGTTACTGTCCACCACTGATTAAAACTACTTTTATAATACATTATGCTTTACTGATCCTGTAAAAAGAAAATGCAAGCAAATTTTCTTCTTAATCTCAACAGAGTATAAAAAAAACATTTGAGAGACTCACTGTTTTAGCATTTCCTAATGATCTCATATTTCCCTTCCATGTGTAAAATACTGACGACATTTGAAGAGCTTTCTATATTTACAATCAGAAGCTCACTGGCCTGCTTCCCTGCTGAAGGTTCAGCTCTCACAAGATGAAAACCCTGAAGAAACAGTGATAAAGTAGTTTTGTTTTGTCCTCTGATCGCTCACTAATGTCTTCAGTCTGATACGAGACTCCAGCAGAAATCAACCCCACTTCACAGAAGAGCGACGCGCGGCAGATGTATGAAAGATATATAGGATATGTGCACTGATTTGACAAGCCATAACAGGTACTTATACAGTAAGGTGTTACAGTATCTGTGTTGACTGCATTTCTGCGCCTGTGACTCAACAAAATGAATTACAGCATCCACTCAACCAATCAGAGACGATCCTGCGACTTCCCTTTGAATCTTTCTTTGTCAATTGCATTATTTATTTTAAGTTAGCTGTATTTCTGTAGTGCTTTAGATTGTTTCAAAGCAGCTTCACAGTAATAAACATGCTCCATGATGCAAACATCATCAAATATGAGGCTCTAAAAAGGCAGTGGCATCATTATTCGGGTCAGTATTGATTCAGTTCAGTTCAACAACTGTGTAAAACTCTTCCATTCTGTTTTCAAATTATATTGTTCTTTGCCCTTATTAATTTATGCATGATATGAACTTTTTTATTGGACTGTTTTATTTATATATTTATACATTCAAATGCAATACAAATGTAAAATATTTCCAATAAAGCACTGAAACTGCTTATGTTTTATTATGCATTCAATTCTTCCATTATATTGTCTGACATGATTGGATTGCAAAGTTTAAAACCAAACGTTGCACTTTTAGTTTCTAATGTAACATAAAAGCTTTCCTGACTAACTTTCTTGCACTGAAGCAGCGGACTGCACACAGACGCTGTGATTCTGTCCTGTTTGGTTTTGGCACAGTCCACAGACTTATTCTCAGCTCATTCAGCAAATACAACGGCTGCGATCTCACCTGAACACACACACGCAGGTGACCCAGACACGGAGAAGAGCAGTGTATTCCAGCCAAAAATCAGATTCTGTGATCGTTTGCTCCACTCATGCTCTGCTCCAAACATGAACGTTGAGTTTTCTTTCTCAGGGACTGTCATGCTCCAAAATACAATCTATTACACAAATCATATGAACTACTTTTTAAGACTTCTACAGTGTTTTTCATCCTTTTTTTGGAGCTCGACGGCTCCTTACTCAAATTTTTTGCTGCTTATTGAATTTACTTCATTAAGACGAGGTAAAGCAACACATGGTTTTAGTTAAAGGCGTCATATGATGCCCATTTTTCACAAGTTGATATGATTCTTTAGTTTTAACATAGTTTGGTTCAAATTTCTCAATGGTAGTGTAAAAACACCTTTTTTACCCTGTCAAAAACAGCTCTTTTCAGATCAAGCCGTTTTTGTAGCATTTCCCTTTAAATGTTAATGA